CCCGCCAGCCTTGCCATGGCCGAACACGAAGTCGTGCATGGCCCGAACGTACGCGGAGCCGTCGGGGTTGGCCAGCCTCAGGCGCGAGAACGGGGCGAAGAGCTGGGTGGTGACGCAGCGCAGGGGAGGGCAGGGGGTGCCGATGGCCTCCAGGAACACCTGGCACCACAGAGGGGTCAGACCCATCCCCAGCATGGCCACAGGGCTGGGGCCCCCCATGGCCACAGAGCCCTCCCAGACCCCTTCACCCCCCACCCCGCAGGGACTGACCTGCAGAACCTCCTCTACCTCCTGGGCCGTGTCGCGGAAGAGGCTCTGGCAGTGCTGCAGGTACCGGCAGTAGAGGTCCTGCGTCTCGGCGTCCAGGCCCTGCAGCTCACTGCCCTCGGGGTCTGGGCGCTGCAGGTTGGCCAGGAAGCTGGTGTTGACGGGTCCACACTCCACCAGCGTCAGGCTGTGGGAAAGGGCCGGGCCGGCAGCTCTGAGCCAAGTGTGTGAGCCACCGTGGTACCCTCCATCCCGGCACCCCTCCATCCCAGCACCTGGGGACCAGCCGTGCAGCCCCCCACGGCGCTGCCGGGACTCACTAGATGTTGAAGCGCTGCAGGACGATGGCCAGGCTCTCGCATAGCCCCTCCACCGCAAACTTGCTGGCACAGTACAAGGAGTTGAAGGGCAGCCCTGGGGCAGAGCCGCACCCTGAGCACCGGGTCCCTTCCCTGTGTCTCCCTGTGCCACAGGGTGCCAGGGGCCCTGCCGCAGCAGGGCGAGGTCCCACCTTGCAGCCCCCCGACGCTGCTGGAGATGATGATCCGTCCGGCTCTGCGGCGCTTCATGGCAGGCAGGGATGCCTGGATGGGGCGGACGGCCCCAAAAAGGTTCACATCAAAGACGGTCTTCATGGCTTGGTCAGAGTAGGTCTCCAGGGGACCCATCAGTCCCACTCCTGCCTTGCAGACTGCCGGGAGCAGTGCTGGTAAGCTGGGCACCACATCGCCCCTGCCCGTTCCCCAGCACCGTTGAGGTGCCCAGAAGACAGGAATGTGGGGGACAGCAACCGTCAGCACCCCCAAAGCCAGCTCCTGTACCCCTGCCCCGCTGAACTCGTCCCATCCCAACTCCAGGACTGCCGTCACCTCTCATGATTTGGCATCTGCTTCTGGTGCCCCAGGGAGGGTCAGCAACCCCAAAGAGGTCTCCCAGCCCCTCCCCTGGCTGGCAGGGGCACCGGGAAGAGCCATACCCAGCACGTCCAGCCGTTGCCCC